ATTGTCCCTGGATCAGTAGGATACTCTTGTAATAAAGTAGCAGTGGTAGCGGACAGATTTTAAGTATCAATTCTGCTTAAAAAGATGCAATCTAAACCTGATTACATGAAATAAGCCTGCTCCCGAGCAGGTTTAAACTAACGGACCTGTTGCTATGACAGCAACTCCGGGATGAGCTTCGAAGAACCAAATAATCCAAGATCATGCCAAATCGCAAACAATCAAATCCAGCTAACTGAGTTAGCGACGTACGAAGAACGGGCCCCTGTTGGGGTATGGGTTTGTTTGTTTTGGTGCTTTCAAATGTCAATATCGTCTGGCAAAATTCCCTTAGTGCACCTTTAAGTCCACAGACGGTAATCTACTCTCCAGTCTGATTTGTTTGTCGGACAAAATGGCGGATTCGGCGTTATGATTGATCAGATCACCTGTCAATCAAACTCCCTGCGAAGGGTCAATTGAGAGGTATTTGATGATCGTTTGAGACTGTTTAGATGATGATATGAATATATGTTTATTCTTCTGAGTTTCATGAAATAATCAAATGCATTGAGTCACATAGCAATGCTTTGCACTGCTGAACAAACAAATACCTGTGGGATGATTTTAGGAGATGAATCATGTCGAAAACAGAGCCCTCAGGCTATCAAACTCTATTACTATTTCATACAAATCTCATCCATCTTTGATATTCCTTAAATCCCTCATCACTTATTCAGCTATGAAATGCTTGATTAAGGAAGAACACAATGGAACAAACCGCATGAGGCATGTGACGGGGACACAGAATGCCATTACCATGGCAACACATGCATCTCCACTGCCAAAGCACAATAGTCTCTCCTTCAGTGCATAGCGCTGAGATACTTCACTATTACAATTTAACACAGCCTAAAAGCTTGAAATATGAGTGTACCTCCTGGACTTATCAAAAACATCACATAAGCATTTCCTATTATAATGCAAAAATAAAATACAATTGCTTTGACCAGGACATGTTAGCAAGTTTTATTCACCCAAATGTTAACCTTAGTTTAAATATCAGGGCCTCAAGATCGTATCAAAATATATATTTAATTTTAATTTTTGCTTATCCAAATACCTATTTAATGAAAATACATCTTTCCACACTGTTTTCCTCTAAAGGAATACTGAATGCTATTTAATATTTTTTTATTTATATTCTCCAATATAATACATAGAAATAAACAGCAATATAGTTTTTTTCTAAATATTTTATTATGCCATACTGTAAAAATGCAGCTATAAGGATGTTGTTGCAGCACATTTGTTATATTTAAAATACCTATTTAATGAAAATACATCTTTCCACACTGTTTTCCTCTAAATGAATACTGAATGCTATTTAATATTTTTTTATTTATATTCTCCAATATAATACATAGAAATAAACAGCAATATAGTTTTTTTCTAAATATTTTATTATGCCATACTGTAAAAATGCAGCTATAAGGATGTTGTTGCAGCACATTTGTTATATTTTATATTTAGTTGACTAGACAGAACCAAATCTCCATCTAGTCTTATTGAGAAAGTTTTGCCATGTATCATTTCAATAATACAAAACAGAAACAGAGACACGGATTCACTCAGAGGAACTGATGTGCTTCACAACTCATGTTTCTTTAAAAAACTAATTTCCTGTCATCCTTCCTCACTACATCCACTTACTTTTTGAAAAGTACTTTAAAAATGTAAATGACAATGATTGAAATCAGCTTGATTCTAGGTCTTTGCCTATATTAAAAATCAGCCCCTGTGGCTCTGATATTCTTGTCTTTAAATACAGTTCGGATCTCTCCTTTGGTATTTTGTGTCTGTTTTATCACACACCTAGTGAAAATCATGTCTGTTTGCTTAGAAATGTCATAACACACCTCTCATAAACAAGCCACATGATTTGAAAAATCATTCACATCTGTAGCTCAGTCAGTGTGGATACTTTTAACTACAAAACGTAGCTGTAAGATTTTACCCTCCTAGATAAAAAACAGACAAAGCTAGTTAAGATGGTTTCTTAACTCGATGTTTGCAGCACTGTAAGTACAGTAAAGTATATTTCCTGTAGGCCTGGTTATGATCTCACATTTAAAGCACCTTTTTCAAGCATGAGTCAATATACAACACAACCTTAACCACCTCTCTGAATGAATATAACACCTCCACCTCTGTGGACCAAAGGTGGGTGTGTAATTGATGCAGCCGTGTATAGCATTGTACTGGTTTATCCCTACAGCTCTCTGGCACTGACTGTAAGACTGGTGGGTGTGTGACTTCCTGTACAAGAGCCACAATCACAGCTGATTAGCTTTTAGAAAATAGAAACTAGCAGAACAGACACAAAAAGACCGACGGACGGACGGACGGATAGATAGATAGATAGATAGATAGATAGATAGATAGATGGATGGACGGACAGAAAGATGCATGGATAGATAGACGGAGAGACAGATAGATAGAAAATAGAAACTAGCAGAACAGACACAAAAAGACAGTCAGAGACGGACAGACAGACAGATGGGACAGAAAGATGCATGGATAGACGGAGAGACAGATAGATAGAAAATAGAAACTAGCAGAACAGACACAAAAAGACAGTCAGAGAGATGGATGGATGGACAAACAGAGGGACAGACAGACAGACAGACAGACAGACAGATAGATAGACAGACGGAGAGACAGATAGATAGAAAATAGAAACTAGCAGAACAGACACAAAAAGACAGTCAGAGAGACAGACAGACAGATAGATAGATAGATAGATAGACAGACGGACGGACAGATAGATAGAAAAAGATAGATAGACGGAGAGACAGACAGATAGAAAATAGAAACTAGAAGAACAGCCACAAAAAGACAGTCAGAGAGATGGATGGACGGACAAACGGAGGGACAGACAGACAGACAGATAGACATAGACAGACAGACAGACAGACAGACAGACAGACATAGATAGATAGATAGAGAGATAGAGAGATAGAGAGAAAATAGAAACTAGCAGAACAGACACAAAAAGACAGTCAGAGAGACAGACAGACAGACAGTCAGATGGACAGAAAGATGCATGGATGGATAGAGAGACAGATAGATAGAAAATAGACACTAGCAGAACAGACACAAAAAGACAGTCAGACAGACGGACGGACGGACGGACAGACAGACAGATGGACAGAAAGATGCATAGATAGATGGAGAGACAGATAGATAGAAAATAGAAACTAGCAGAACAGACACAAAAAGACAGTCAGAGAGATGGATGGACGGACAAACAGAGGGACAGACAGACAGACAGACAGACAGATAGATAGATAGATAGATAGATAGACGGACGGACGGACGGACGGACGGACGGACAGACAGAATGATAGATGCATGGATAGATAGACGGATAGACAGAAAGAAAATAGAAATCAGCAGAACAGACACAAAAAGACAGTTAGAGAGACGGATGGACGGACAAATGGAGGGACAGACAGATAGATAGATAGATGGATGGATAGACAGACAGACAGGATGGTGGTGGTCACCTTATGCATGAGCTCCTCATTGTATGTGAGGAGGAGTGTGCTGCTGGACAGTGTGTGTCCGTCCTCTGTGTCTGTGTCCACTGGAGAGGAGCCGTAAGCGCTGTCAGGATAAGCAGGCTCTCCCTGCTCCACCAGCTCCAGCTCTGAAGTGTTCTCCATCATCAGCTCCATGTGTGAGGTGCTTCTCAACAGCAGATCTTTGACAGTCATTGAGTCTTTTCCTCGCTGGCTCGCTCGTCTCAGAGATGTCACGGCGTCTCTTACCTAGTCTTGTCTCTGATGTGCAACGATGGCTCATGCCAGAGATTCTTATAACCTGATGAAGTTTACACTATTAAATATTTAACAGTAGTGCTTCCTGTGGCATGTAGTACAGGACATGTTCATGATGATAGCAGTGTACACAACTGTGCTCACTGTGGCAAACCATTTTGGGTCGTTCCTGCTGTGTTGAACGTTTTGAACTATATATGAAGCTTTTAAAAATGAATACGATTTCATTGTAGTGTTGGATGCTTTGCTCAAACTCACACTCACTTTATTCAGTATAACCTTATTATTTACAAAATGGAAATGCAGGTTAGCCTGCTAAGTGAGGGACTGACAGTTAGCTTGCATGAGAGTGCAAGGTTTTAACCACATATTTAAGATGTAATCATACAGATTTCTGTAGTTTTATCAAGCAGGATGGAAGGATTTATAGTGACACAAACCAACTAATACCGCAAAACAACCCAGAACTAGCTACAAATGTTGCTAAAATGTTGTCACCATATATATATATATGGTGACAACATTTTATTAGCATTAGCATATTAACATTAGATTCCTCATTAGCATCTGTTTCTAACACATAAAAAAAAACGCACAACATCAAAAAGTTACCATAAAGACCTGCAATATTGGGTTATATATATATATATATATATATATATATACATATATATAT